TTTCAATAAAGAAAGAATTATCAAAATTAGATAACTCTGTAAAAAAGTGTATGAACAATCAATCGTCCCTTGTTTTCATACCTTTAGGGTTGGATTTTTTTTCCAAATTCATATAGGACCAATTACGGTGTATACCCTTTCCAATAAAAAGAGAATTATCAAAATTGGACTATTATGTAAAATAAATTGGTGTTATATTATATTATCTTACATAAAAAAAAACAAGTATACGCGTTGACTTGAGAACCTCCTCCGTGCTTTTCGTCGGTTAAAAATCGATTAGAATGGTATATTTAATACAAGTCATTGATGCCAAATTATCAGTTCGGTTTGAACGAACTATTTTTGTTGTTTAATCATAAATGTTTTAAACAATCTCATAAACAATAATGTAGCTGTTTTTCTAGACATAAAAGGCGCTTTCAATAATATTAAACATGAATCAAATAGATTCAAACTTTAGCACATTCCCGGTTCAGTTTAATTATGATCTATAATTTTCTTCACGGTCGTACCATATATCATAATAGGTATATGGAACGACCGTGAAGAGGGTCAAAAAAATTTCATATGAGCTCGGAATTCTGAATTTATTAATCACACGATTTCATCAACTGCCTAATAAATAAACTTATTTAATTTATTAATTATAACGTTTGTCTACGTTGTTGGTGAATTCGTGGCTATTTAAGGGCAAGTGGCATGCTGAGATTGTCCTAGTACCAAAGCTTGATTGTAAAACTTCATACTTAAACAAAAAAATTATAACTCGTTTAAAAAAGTCTTTGACTGTAAATTTCTATCCCTTAAGCATGGTGTTACATTAAGCAATAATGCATTTTGTAAATATTGTTTTAATGAATATTGTGATCTTCATCGTTTATTCTTGGATTGTAAGAAGTTTAATATTCAGCGATCCTGTTATACATACTTAGGTACAAATTGTTATTAAAAACTAATTAGTGCCCAAAAATGTTCAGGATTTGTTTAAATTCGAAAACTTATTATAGTGTAATGCAAATATTTTTATGAAAATACTTTCGGCCCATTGTAAATATAATAATTTCTATTTTTTATTCACGGTTATCTCATGTCAAAATAGTTTTTAAGTATATTTGTTTTCTCTATCAAAAATAACGTTAAAGGTCAGTTAAGAATACTACTTTGCGATGAGTAAGGAAATGGGATGAAACGACAAATAAAAATGTGTTTAAATAAGAAAAATCATACCGAACGCACATTAAAAAAATTAATATAAAAAAACTTATAAATAAATCATCAGAATCGGAACTGCGGGGCTATTCTGTAAAATTTTCACGCGCGGATCCGATGCGGATCCGCTAGTTTCCCATATAAATTGGCGCGGAACCGCATCGGATCCGAGCGTGAAAATGTTACAGAATGTAGTCCCTGTTCCTAAGGTTTTTAGACAGGAAAAAGGCTTTATTGTCGCGGCTAATATAGAGGAACACGAAGTACCTAATAATATAATATTTGATCGGATGCCTAAATTATAAAATAGCCTCGAATCGAACTACGATTCGAACTCACGAAGATGTTATCGAATAACAAACAATGGATTACATTACCGGGTGCGCGGGCGCGTAGCAAAACTGTACCATAGAATGACTGTACCATGCTTAGAGATGTAACGACTCGACTTTTCAAAACGGTTCAAACCGGTTTGAGCATGGACCGAGTTGAATCGGTTAACGTCTTCGTAAACCGGTTCTACCGTGGCATTCGTTCGTATCGAGCTGCGCGCATACGCGCCTGTCAATTCTTGTTTATACCGCCATCCACAAATCGCGTGCGGCTCCTGACGTGCTTTACCGACCCTAATAAAACTTGACCGACCAATACGAACCGACTTACAGCAGCGGATACGGTTAGCGTGCATCGTCAATTTAAATACAACAGCCATAACCGACTTACCGACCGCACCGAAATGAAACGGACTCTGGTAGATTTGACTGACTTGACGGTGTAATTTTGTTTTCATTATTATGTAATATGCGACGTAATTGCCCAGCTTCTAAAAAAATAGACCAAATATTATTCCTAAATAGTTGTAAGAAAACTTTTAATTAAGTTGTTTGTACCAAATTAAGTTTCTACGACTCAAATGATTTTACAAAAATAATATACGTATTTATTATATTATTGATTATTAAAATTGTATTTTATTCTCAAAGTTAAGAAGTACGGTTTTATGTAATTAATAGAGTTTATATATTTTTTTTGTAATTTTTTAAACACGGTATTACATAGATAATTGTTTATTTTTATTTTGACATTTTTAATTCTGATTATTATTATTTGTTTGCATATTTTATTTGTTATTTTTCAATTACCTTTAAATATTTGCACGATGTAATATCAACAAAATATTGTAGAATTAAAAAAAAATAGCACCTGTTGTTTCGTAAGTTTCATTCGTCATCTCGTCAAACGGTTCAAACCGGTTCAAACCGCGGTTTACTGAAAATTTGGCGGTTCGGTTCGGAAACCGATTTGCATGTATTACTAACCGATCAAATCCGGTTTGTCAAAATTCAAGATCGTAACATCACTAACCATGCTGTTTTTAGAGAAAGGGGTCTCATTTCGTGACGTCACATTCTTTCGATCTATAGACAAATGCTAAGTTAGAGGCGGTTATAAAAATTACAAAAGCCTTATATAAAATTACTTTGACGTCATTTGTCTATTCCCAAACAACTTAGTTAATTGGTTAGTCTAAATGTTTTTTTTATTTGCACGCGCTGTTACTTATTTGTCCTTATTTTACTAATTAATGCTGCCACTGCCTAGAATCCATCTTTGTTTAGGTATTCAAAAACTTAGTGGCATAAAAACTTTGTCGATAGCTATGCAAAATTAAAATTTACAAGCATCGTTGTGGATGAATAGTCTGTAATCGTATAATCTTTAGAACTTTTGTTTTAATCTAAGTTAAAACATCATAGATGACGTAAGTACGATGACGTGATTAGCAATGACGTATAGATAATCTTTAAAACTTAATAGGTCGATAGTCTATTTCTATCAGTGTTTTTATTTCGATTTTCGATTTGATGATCGGTGGTTCAAAGCAGATTTCAAGCTTTCCCTCCTATGCCTGCCTACCAGTATTAGCAAACTTAGAGCTGATTGCAACGATGTTAAACAAATTGTCTCACTTAACTGTTTTCCAAGGTTTTCACTAGCGATGGGCGTTGAATTAACGAACGGTTTAAATAGACGGTCTACGTTCAATCGACGCTTCGACGGTCTACAGTTTATTCGTTAACTAGTTGAATTCATAGACGGCTAAACTGAGAGTCCACAGCGTTCATATCTACCGACAACGCGACGTCAACGCGTAAACGTATCCAGTTTACCGGTTACAAGTCCATACGTTCGTTCATTCGTTGAAATAAAGCAATTTGAAACTTAAGCATATGGAATGGGAGTTGATATTTGTTCGTTTTTTAAACTAGAGTTGTTAAAGTGAAAAGGCAAGAGTATTCTGATATTGCGTGAAAGAGTACGTCGATGGATCCGGCTAAACGATGCAGTGCAGGATGAACGGGTTTATAATAATTGTTTACCTCAAGTAGTTGCAGTTTTGTTTGTTGAAATTTGAAATTAGTGTGTCGCGAGGTCAAGGTCAAGGAACACGTGAATGCGAATTTAGTGCAAAGTTCGTTTGAATGAGGGCTATCGCGTATGAATCCGCCGCTAGAGGCGCTTGTGTAGCGTGAGGTCTCCGAAATGTCAAATGTTATTGGTTGTGGGTTGACTACGCGGGTTTATTTCTAATTAAAATAATGTTGTGAATATTTAGTAATAACTCGGCTTAATTATAGCAAATATGAGTTACGTGGCATTGAATGTCAATTATTTAACAGCGGAGCTAAGAAAAATAATTATGTCCTCCTTTTTGCCGTACAAAACGGAGCTGCGCAACACTGTGGTATGGCCAATTATGTTTAGAATACGGTTCTTTTGTATTAAAATATGATTTAAATGTATACTTTGATTTCACGCGCGTATTAATAAACATTAAAAGTTACAATAATTCAGGACCTCACTCAACAGTGGCGCCATCTGGTGAGACAAAAAACGGTAGCCCTCATTGAATGATTATTTTTTGAGTTTAATTTGTAATTTATTTTGTAAACATTTAAATGATAATGTAAAATGAATAATACTAAATAAAGACCCCGTTGGTCGTCGTTGTTGCGTCGCGCCCGTAGACCAGTCACCGCGTAGTCAGTATGAACCCCTCAACGCTTACCGTTATCACGTCAACTAGTTGAAGAATTCAACTAGTTGATCGACTAGTCGATGGACGGTAGTGGACGGTTTAGTTTCGTCACGGTAATAATATCATAATTACCGTGGTCTCGTCTACGAAAAATACGTCGACGACCCACCTCTAGTTTTCACTATCCAAAATTGAAGAAAAGTGTCAATGTAACATATTGATTAATTCAGTATTTCAAATCCCAATTTTGAAATGAAGGCAAATAACAAAGGCATCGCAAAAAGCGAAAATCCCTTGGACTGCATAATGTATTCATTTTGTGCCAGAAACACCTGGCACTAGAGTACAAGATTTTTATACAAAATATTCAGAACTGGCTGCATGCATCCCAGCTGTGATGCAGCCTACTCTAGCAACTGGTGGTGTAAAATTATTAATTAATTAAATTATTAAAAATAATTTAAAGGGATTAAGGAATTTCATATTTTAAGTAAGTAAGTAATAACTATTTTCCTATTAGTCACAATATTTCCGAGATTTTTTAGAGGAGTGATTGTAGATTACCTGGTAAAGTAAATAATTAAGTGCAAATGGACAATTTTATTTGATCAGTGGATTAGTATATCACAGTTACATTATACTCATAATTCCCACAAAAGAGAATCGATTGCCGTATCTCGAGGTTTATACTGCTATGTAATTCATTACAGAGAGAGCGTCCTTTCGTCTGCTGGTCGCCAGTAAAGAATTGACCGTTGCGCGAGTGCAACGTTAGGCAGTATTAAAAATAAAACGTTCCCCTTTCGAACGCATTCACGATCGCGCCTTATTTTGTTTTTTTTTTACTTTTTCTTTTCGGCCAGTATTCTGGTAATTTTAATTATTATTATTTTCTTTTGTGATAATAAACCGGCTTTCTTGATTGTGCCAGTGATACAAAAGTAAAAGGAGGTGAAACTCTTGCGATTTCGGTGAGTGTTTGTCATACATTTATATACCTACGTTCTCATTTTTTTTGCTATGAAACCTATGTAATCATGTATTTATAAAAAAAAACTAAGCGCACCCAAAATATAAAATTTATTACTTAAATATAACATTCTGTTTCTTTTATAAAAAATATTTAGAAGTGTTGATAATAATATTTATTGAAATATGTGAATATCATTGCACCAAATTGTATCGTATATAAGCTTATTAGTTTTAAACTTTCAATCGATTTAAATAAGTAGTATTGAAAGTTAATCACTCTTATTTCTAAGAGAATGACCCAAGTGAAAAAAAAATTGAATGTTAATTAAAAATGACCAACTAGCGAACAGACATTGTCCTGTCAGATGAAATTATAAAAATAACAGTTACACAGCCTGCAACACACCTATGTTGTTTCTGCGTAACCTTATTTTTTCCGTAGGAATTTTCTACGAAGTATAAGATAATAAAAAAACCGAATGTATTTGGTAAAGTCGTTCTCAAATTCAAAAACAACGAAACAGAAATCACAATATTGCCAAACAATAATACTCTGGTGTCGCGCAGTTAGGTAAAAAAAGGAAAAAAAAAAAATATTTTACTAGAATAAACTCCACCCGGTCCAGTCTGAAACCTGGACAGAGTGGGTTTTTTATTTATAAATCTTGCAGTTTAAATCTTAAAAAATAAAACCTGAAATAATAGAAAAAACTGTCAAAGAGCACCAAAAAGCTCAGCATAAGTATATATATCTGTAAGATATAATCGCACTTACGATCTTATTATTCGGATTTGTAATACTTTCTGCTTCCACAGACAGCGATATTTTGCCGTATAAGAGCGTAATACTTATTTATTTATTTATTTTTATTTAAATAAAAGTAGTTTTTCACGGGTTAATGCACGAAACTTTATTTATTTATTGACGTTTCGCAGCCTTTACAGGCTGCTTCGTCGGAAACAAATTTTTTGAGCTGCGAAACGTCAATAAATAAATAAAGTTTCGTGCATTAACCCGTGAAAAACAAGTTTTATTTAATGAGTGATGTGAGTGAAACCCTAAGAAACAAATATTGGTGTCGATTCTAGCGTGATTCTCTAAACTTAAACTTAAATTTGACAGCAGTATATCTTTGTCATTCTCTATACAGAATGAAAAGGAGAGGCTGATGTTAAATTTAGTTTTAAGTTTAGAGAATCACGCTAGAATTGATACCATTATTTTTATTTATTTATCAAACTAATGCTTTTTCTTTTTTTAAATATTAAAACACACCAATTAGCCTAGTCCCAAAGTAAGCACTATAGGGCTTGTGTTATGGGATGTTAGGGTAACGGATAGAATACATATACTGTACATATATAAGTATATCGTCAAAACGACAGCTACCGAAATCGGACGAAGAAGGGAAGACTTTATTATACAGGATCGCCCTACTGGTGTTCTGTTCGGACGCGGGTATTAAGCTACTAGTGAACCGATCTGACTTAGCAGTAATACAAAATAGCTACTAGGTTCATGACAAAATTTAAAAATAACCGTCCACAATGCGAGTTATTCGCATAAGTACGAAATGTTAATCATTGTGCTAAGATAAGACTACCATAGTACCTACATCTGATTGTTAAATAGAAATTTCAAACTAGAAGGAGCAAAACAATTAAAAAAAACACATTACACTACACGTATGAAAATTGATACCCCTTTTAAATATTTCTTTTATTATTTATTACGATAGCGGCTACAATTTCAGATGTCTAATAATAAGTCTTTATTTTCAGTCCAGTAGCTACTTACTTAGCTCGATGGCGCAAGTGGTTAGCGCGTTCGGCTGCGATCGTTGAAGTTAAGCAACTTTCGCAGTGGTCTGTCATTGGATGGGTGACCAGAAATTTACTATGGCGAGTTCCTCCGTGCTTTGGAAGGCAGGTTAAGCCGTTGGTCCCGGCTGCATCTGCAGTCGTTAGCACCCACCAATCCGCACTGGACCCGCGTGGTGGGCCATGGCCCAAGCTCCCTATTCCACCCATAGGGAAGGCCTGTGCTCCAGCAGTGGGGACATTAAAAGACTGATGAGGATGAGGAGCTACTTACTAACTGTTTAAATTTAAGAAGTGAATCCCAAAGACAGACAAACCAGGTGGTTTGTCACCCTTACGGTAAAACTTACTAAGAAAAAAAACTGATAAACATCACTGAGTATTTTGCATGCCAGTTTTTTTTCCTTAAGTGACACATCTCTTTAGTAAACTCGGTAAAAAAAGTTATTAAAAATATTATTTTTCCGTTTTCGGCGTGATAATTATTATGCGCGCATTAAAAAATAAACGACCTAAACCGTTTTAACAATTCTTAACACTGTTCTGTCATAGTTGGAAAAATGGATTTTTTGTTATATGTACTACTGGTTACCCGTGATTTTTATGTTTTTACTTGTAACTAACAAACAATTTGATTTAGACCCTAAACATTTGAAATATTTTTCTATAGGAGGTCAAAGAGAGAATGCATCAAATGCATTTTTTAATTAACCTTTTACTAAAAGGAACTTTGCCCTTTGTTTTCTTTCTGATAAAATTGAAAATATGATTTGAATTAATAGTTTTTCCAATGTTCCTCGTTCAAAAGATTTAATCCTCTTTAGAGCATCGTTCTATCTTGGTAAATTGTTTCAAATCAAATAGAGATAGAATATACATGGCATAAACAGGATTAGCTTTTAAATATTTAAGAAATTTGGTGCAAGTAGGTACGCCTTAAAATCGTAGATAGGTGTAACAAAAAAAATGATCATACATAAAAATAATAATAATCACAAAATAAGAAGGACAGTGCTTAAAACGATATTCTTTATGACTTACTTAATACTTATAACTATACCAGTTTATTTTTTCATTATATTATTTTTATAGCTAAAATCTGATACAAACTCCGGCTGCATGCGGGCGAATTATATATACTTCCGTGTAACTATTACTGTAATAATCATAATCGCCGTATTAACAATATACTATGTATAAGTATCTCAATCAAACAATGATGACTCCATCTCATTGTCCATTGTATGCACTTGTTAATGCTGAGCAGATGCAATCTCAAACGAAAGGCATTGTAATACGAAAGAACTATTTAATCATGTTCACAACGATTATAATTTTATTATAGATTCCGCTCCTTATTTCGTCCGCGTTATAGTTACTTTATTGAGAATCCCAGCGGAACCTTAATTTTCCCCCAGGTTAATAAGTACCCTATGTGTCAATCTAGCTAGATGATAATAAACTATGTGTGCAAAATTTAATCCAAAACCATTCAGCCTTTTTCGCGTGAATGACCAATAAGCATCGATACAAATTTTCGCATTCATTCTTAGTAGGATTTCTAAGTTTTTTTTTTACTAAGGGGGGACGTATCTTACTTTATCTTCGTAAAATAAGAATATATCACCTACCTATTTCACGTACCTTTAATATGAGCCTGTCTCGTTATTGTGAAATATACCTTTTCAATGTTTTCTTTATGTACTTGTCAATCACTAATTAATTGCATCGCCATGCAAGGTAAACATTAACTTGTAGCTTGGTCACGAATTACCTGCGACAGAGAGCGAATCCTGGACGATTTATTTAGTTGCACTAATAAACAGATATCCAAATCTATAAATAAGTATCTCCCATTATTTGTTTTTGTAGAAATAGATATCTAAACTAAAAAAATTCATTCAAGACATCGGTGTCGATTCTGAAGTGATTATCTAAACTTAAAACTAAATTTAACATCAGTCCCTCCTTTTCATACTGTATAGAGAATGAAAAGGATAAAATATTTATTATATGTACCCGACCACCTCATCGAGCCCAGTAATGGGAGTGGGTTTGCTGGCCAATGGACTACCATGGTTGACGGAATGAAACTGATCTTTCTTTTGTTGGTTAACGTAATTATTACTCAACCGTAAAAAGTAGGGATTTCCAAAAAGGCGGTCACACTTTAGCTGACTCATTTCACGTTTGGGTGTGCATAAAACTTTAAGCATGTAAGCGTGACTTGCAATCAATGCTTGAGGAAATGGAACTCTCTAAGTATTCAACAACCGAACTGAAATTATCGTCAAAATCAAATTAAAAAAAACGACGGGTTGCACTCCGGTAGTGAAAACTTGAATATTAACTTTGTGCATTTTTGATATGTTGGAATGGTAAGGGAATAATTTTGCACGAATTGCTTTAATTATCAGTATAAAAGTACTATCATTTATGTGGTAGAATACAATATTAATTTATATTACATTAAAAAGTTTATCTCTCAGAAAAATCAACTTACATGAATCACATTTAAGCGCACCTAGCGACATCTATTGTAAAAAAAATGCATTTTCTTCGCAATAAGGCTGCTACCTGGACGTCTTAATTAGAGACTTACTAATATAATACGATAAAAATAAAATATTACTATATTTCGTCCAAATATTGAAAGTCAACAACCTTTCCAATTTTATTGTTTTCGTCTTACGAATTTTCGATTAGGTCACGTGACGTCCTGAAGTTTTTACCCATTCTATTTTTAAAGAGACACATTATAAGTATTTTGTGATAAAGAGGTCTGAGGTTATGAGGAAGGGCCAGACGCGCCAAAGTTATGTGTGAGCAAATGCTCATAAGTTGAGCAAATCTTGGTTTCTGATTGCGTCGTTGCTCTCGGGTGTGAGCGCTGATTGGTGCGATATTTGATGGCGCGTCGTTTGATTGGCTATTTTCTGTTAGGTGGAAGTGTAGTGGGCGAGCCGCCGACATCGGTTCCCGTACAAACGGACTAACATCACCCTTCTAACCTCTTTCTGTGTTCTGTGGTTCTACCTCACGATTCGCATCTTCCTTTATCATGCGAACCGCAAGGGAATGGAACTCTCGTCCTGCGTCTGTATTCCCGGTTAATATTGGGACCTTGATGCAAGACAAGAGTTAATAGGCATTATTTGAGATTGTGTGCTTCAGCCAC